ATTGATGCTATTCCCGCTCCACGTGTTTTAATCACTGTCTCCCTGTTGTCATCTGCAGAGGCTCGGATTTGCTTCAGAAGACCTCCCCAGCTTTAGACACTGAGCAGAGGCACTTGGGTTGAGAGCAATGTCACCTTACACTCAGCAGGCAGATGTGAAGAGGTGCCAAGTATGACCCAGCAGCAGTTGGTGAACTGTCTCACTGGCGATGCCTCTCGTCCTCCGTCAGATGCAGAAGCAGCCTGCGGTGACTATACTTCTGACTTAGGCACTCCCTCAAGTGGGATGCATCTCTCTAGTGCAGAGTTTCCTATTTTGTTCCTGCTGAATCATCTCCTGCCATCCCTTTTTAGACCAAGCAATCTGTACACCTGTGGGCTGCACCTCCTGTTGCCATATCCCTGCTGATACACCCTCCTGCACTCCGGAGAAAATTTCTTCATGCATCGATACGGTTTCTTAGAGTGAAGCAGTCCTTAAATAAAGTAAATTTTGGGGATTCATAGGTGTAACTAACCTCTTTTTGCTGCCGAAAAACAAGGAAATCCCTATCAGTGCATTCTATTCAAGTAGCCTGAAAATAAATTATATGCTGCTTTTATGATGGCAGTCATGGTGATTTATATTATTATTATAAATTATTATTACTACAGTTATTTCAAGCAATATTGTTATTTGACTTTCAGGGGCTTATCACACAAAAAGAAAAAAGGGCAGTGACCTGATATCTCACATGAAAGATAAAGACACATAAACTGTCTAAACAGCCGCCTCGCTACAGATGGAGAAGAAAAGAATTTTTATGCAAATAGAGTCTGAGACCAAAAGGCCTTTCTCCCTCACCTCCTTTCTAGTTCATGATTAAATAAATCATAAAGCTGTCACTAGAGACCACATAGAAAGAGGTCTCAAATGATAGAAATGAGGGCTTTCTGTATTTGTCTATTTTTAATTTCAAAAGGTATTCTGAATTAAAAAAGGAAGAGAGGGAAAAAAAGAGCCTAATGCTATTTGCATGCCTGATTTCCCAGGAGTATAAACAATTTCTACATCCTCTTGTAACAATAAAATGATTTCTCAAAACTAAACACAAATAAATGAAAATTAAACTGTGATCCATAAACTTAACTGAGACTCACAGTGTCTGATGCTTTTCAAATTCAAATCACCACCAGACAGTGCATCTTTTTGCATAACTTATTCAGCTAAAGCATAGGTGATAGCTTCTCCCCTCTCCCCTTTTCTTATTGAGAGATATACTTCACTCATAGTACTGGAATTTTTGCATGTAAAAGCTGAATAATAATTTACCATTTTTTTTGTAGTTGCACCATATCACGTTGTACAGTGCTTAGAGAGCAGTACAGAAAGTGAGCAGGGAAAACCAAGCATTTTTATGTTGAAGAATAGACAAAAGTTGAATTCTTCTGTCATTAAAGAAAATACCCAAAGGTAACTACAGGTGGTTTTTGTCAGAGGTCTTTGTTCTTCAATAAAGAAGATTAAGCGCTCCAGTGGTAACACCGAATTCTCTGCAGATCAGCCATATCACTTTGGAAACTGAATATACATGTACGTCTTACATAAGAGGGGTATGAATTCACAGCTGGAAGAACTAAATCATGGACAATATCTACCAAAAAGAAGCTACTCCAGAAGAGATGTTATGGAATAATTAAGGTTTAATTTACGGTATTTGCATTCAGGACAACTTCACTGGGTAGTGAAGTTCTTAGTCCTTGATCTTGTAGATATTTCAGCTCTTAATTATTGTGACCTAAGGGAAAAAAGCCTTTGCCTACAAGAAAACATTTTTAAAGCACAGATATTTAAAAACACACACAACCTCGGGTGTCTAAATGGTTGGGATCCCGCCCAGCTGCATGGGGATGCATTTCAGGGACACATTTGGTACTCCACACTCAGTGGGAACATGGGGGAGATGGATTTGGATGCCCTTTGGTGGAAAAAGGACCTGAATAGGAGTCTCCAGAGTGTGGGGTGTGCTGTGCGGGCTGAGGTGTGAGGGGACTCTTTCGGCTCTCTCCACGGGGACCCCCCAGGAGCAGGGCTCAAGCCATCCCCCTGAGGGAGCACCCGAGATTTGCTTGCAGTGGGAATCCCAGCAGCAGGATTACTGAGTGGATTTTTCTTCCTGATGTTTAACCCCTCTGATGACAACCATTACTGTCCAGACCTTCCTCCCCCATTTGTTGGACTGAACAAACCTGGGGCTCTTCACATCTCCTGCCAACCCACAGGTTCTCCGTCCTGCTGGTCACCTGAACAGCAACTGAAATATAAGCCCATATATCTGAGGGAGTAACTGCTCTTTTCATTTTGAACCAGGGAAATGCAATGTTTAACCATGCAGGAGTAAGCTGAAGGGTGGCATTTCAAAGGTGCGAGGAAGAAATATTTTAGACAGCCTGTATTGTGAACTAGCATGATGGTTTTGGATTGGAAGAAAGGGGAGAAAAATCCTTTAAAACCATGTGGGGACATCACCAGAGACACTATTTTAACTGTTAGTTAATGGTAAAACAAAATATTTCCTACCCATGAAAGTACAAATCATGTATTGAATCAGATTCCAAAGATGATGTAGTATGATAAGAAATGCCAAAAGTGATATGCAGAATGCTAATTCCTGTGAGAAAATAAGAAAAGTGCTTCAACAGTGTTGTCATGACATGAACTAGTCAATAACACTACATTCAATGAAAAAGCTCTGTTTCCACAGCACTTTTCCATAATATCCTTTAATTGGAGGGAGTAAAAACAGTGGTGTGAGGAACATCAGCCGGGGTTTTTAGAAAATAAACAAATACGGAATTTCAGAGTGGGTTGTGTAAAAATCACATGCAGGAAAAAAAAAAAAAAAAAAGTTGAAGTTCACATACTTAAAAATGATCACTGTCACACGACAGAGGCCATTTTGCTTGTGACATAGACACATTTCAGCTCAGATCTGCAAGTCTGACCACGGCATCATCTCGTGGCCATCACCCTTCCTAGCTTGGTGACTCTGCTTTTTCTGTTCTTCAGCACCGTCCTGCTTCCCAAGCTTTTCTATCCCTTCCTCTGCCTCCAGCCCAGGGGCAACCCCATCCTCAGCTGCGTCCCCTGCTAACTTCCTCCCCCCATCCCCAGCACCATGTGCTACTCTTCTCAACATCCTCCTCCTCCCACAGTGTCAGTGTCACTCATGATCTGGGAAAATATTGAAACCCAGCACCCCCAAATTCACATACCAACAGGAATTTCCCACACGCTTGTTTTTATTCCTGGTACCTGATGATGAAGAGAGCTGGGTACCAAATTGTTGCTTTGGTGTGGCTGAAAACCATCGCCACTGTTTTTTTTCAGACAGTTGGCCAGATCAAACCTCAATTTTGATCCTTTAGTTGCTGTTGGTAAATTAGGGTCCAGGGAAGAAGACCACAGGCAGGCAAGCTCCCAGAGAGTTTACCCAGTAAGGATTTCACCTGCCTGTGGTGAGGTTGGGCTGCCCAGTCATTAGTGGAACTGATACAAAGAAACAGCAGCAATTAATTTCACCGTGAATTTACCTGCTTTAGCCAGCTTGTTTGGAATATACTTAAGAAGACAAGGTCACAGCATATTTGATAATTTTAAAATGCCTTTTTTTTTTTTTTTTTTAATTCCACTCAAATATTCTCAAATGAAACCCTGACTTGAAAAACAGCTACGGAAATTTGGGGGTCAGATGTTGCTTTTGTTAAGACTGAAGTCAGCGAGAATCCCTCCACCACCTAATTAAAATATCACTGACTAAATCCTCCAGCTAAAAAATAAGTGTCCCTTTTAGCATATCTGTATGAACTCTTCTAACTTTTTGCCCGCCACGTGATGGTTTATCATGGTAGGGCTGCTTATGTATGCTAGATGGCCGACTTCAACTTTAAAGGAAACAGCATGAAATACTATCCACTTGTGCTTTTTGACACACACACACACACACACACACACACACACAACCTCTTCTCATCACACGCATACAGGTAATTGCTTTGTTAAAACATATGGCTTAAGTCTGTAAATCAGGATGGTTTAATTTAGAGGGTGCTGCTCATGGGCTGGTAGCCAGGCACTAGAGCAGGAGCTGGTATAGCATGCAAATCCTTCACACACAGCTCCCTCAGCTCTGTTCCTTGGATCTTTGACCCATGTGGAGTTTGTACACATATGCAGAAGAAGGAATATTCAGATTTGGGTTATACCAACTCTATCATTGTAATTTTAAGGAAAACAGCCTCCCATACCCAACACATCAGTCTCTCTTATCCCGTTATGCTGCTGGTAGTCTAACACAGAACTGGAATATAATTATCTTCATGCTCGCCTTCAATCAAGTCCCAAGAATCCTTGGAGGAAACTCTTTGCAACAGATCTGAACCCGGTAAGTCACACTGCTTACTGAGAGGCAATCAATCGCACGAGAAGGCTCCGGGTATTTGCATAGCTTCGTGCCCGCGTGGGACAATCCAGGTGTAGCCACAGAGCGGCGGAAGGCAAAGCCAAGCCGCAGCTGCTGAGCCCGCGGTGGTGGTAGGACGGCTTGTGGTGTACACAGGCTTTCAACAGGTGACGAGAATGATCTCATGCACGGGATCTGGCTGCTACTAACGCATGCAAATATCTGACGGGCAGAGACACCGCCAGCCTCTCCAACAGCTCCTGAGCGCGTGTGTGAGCACCTCGGATAACAGCTCGCACAAGCGAGGTGCGCTGGCAGTTAAGCACAAGCAGCCGTCAGCATGCTACTCTGAAGCTGAAAAGTCAGCCTGTCACGCACTGAAACCACCTGTAAATCCAGTGGATGTTTCTGAAATTACGGTTTATGCTGTTTCCATACTTCTGAAAGTATTCTTATTCTTTAGCATGCAGAGGAAAATTAAGTCACATTTTCCTTAACAATTGCCGTTCCCGCCTTGCTGCGCGTCACAGCCCTCTGGAGTGACCGCGGTAGCACTGACCTTGGACGTCGCTGCAGTGGCATGACTTTCCTTACCACTCCCCAGGGCACTCTCCTCAATTGCTGCCGCTGCCGGGGCTTCTGCCTTCTTTGCACTTGCTTCCAGAGCAGCAGGAGGCCCTACTTTCCCCAACCCATTCACCGGGGCTGAGCTTGGACCGCTTGATTGCCGCGACTGAGCCTTATACCAGCTAGGGTAAAACAAGGGATCGATGGTTTCTGCTGTGGCTGGCACTGGAATGTCAGACTCTGGGGTCTGTTGAGGACCACCTGGTGTCACAACCTCATCCTTGATCAGGACAGATAAAGAGAAGAACAAGCAGAGTGCACCGTGTTACCTTCCTGCCATAGCCACATCGCTCTGTATGCCATGTTTGTTATATCTCACTGCAAAGAATTGTCCTAATATATGGTCTGAAAGAATTACAATCAAAACACGAAGCAAAAGCAGCTATCATTTGAATAACACAGATGTGGGAGAGAAAATAAGTTACCCAAAAAATTGAATAGGAGGGTAGAATTAGCTGGGAAGGGAATGCTGTCTGAGAAAGCAGTGAGCAAGTGGTTCCTTAATTCAGATAAACATCCAGTTCGATGCTAAAAATACAACAGTTCTGCATAAGAACCTCATGAAATGGTACCAGCCATGAACAACAGGTGTAGGTACCTTAGAACAGCTTGTTGGGTTTTGAGTTGAGAACAACGCATTTTCCAATGGGTCTGTTGATATGAGCAGTCAGAATAAGGGGAATACAAAGACACTGGAGAGAAACATTTGCCCACCAGTCTTGCTCTCAATGCTATAAGCCAAGCACTGTTGCTCTGCCAGGAAGAGGAGCAGGCGGCTGAGCTGCACCTCTCTACCTGCATCAGGCTCTCAGGGCTCACCCGCACGGTACCTGGTATCGCCACAGCATTTCTGCTTTGCCTCTCTTACACCAGAAGGCAAAAGCTGAAATACAGGTATCCCACACACTGCAACACCCACATGCCATGTCTGATGCCACCTCTGACCATCTCCTCATGGCATTTTACAGTTGCTACAGCAGCATGCCATACCTTTCCCATTTTAGCAGTAGAAGTGAGTGACTTCATGTTAGTGGGCAGAATTGCTTATGTCTGGTTCTTGTTTGCATAAAAACCTACCTCAGTTAGGCAACATAAGTTTAGTAAGTCAGTGCAAATCCTCAAAAGACAAACTTTGGTTAAATCAATGAAGCCTGATTTAAAAGTACCTTCATACAACTGGTGCAAACACACATACATTTTTAAATCAAAGCAAGAATGACTCTATGGTACTTATTTTCCCTTGATTTATGTGGGGAGCTTGCTACAATCAAAGACTCTTTATGTGCTCTCCTGTTTTCACACCTCAGATAGCTTCACAGCAGCCTTTACCCGCTCAGCAACTTCACTGGGTAAATTGCATAAGAGGAGAATTTGCTAAGTTAATTGTATGTAAGGCCAGCTAAAGTAGCACATGAAGTGTATTTTTTTTTTATGTAACTTTTAGAAGATGCAGCAATTATGGTCTCATTCTAATCGCATTCCCTAAAAAAAAGTGCTGGCCTAAGTTATTCACACCCTGAATCTGTTTGCTGCTAGGTTGTGAGGCAGTGTCCTCTCCTGTTTGGTGCATGATATCCTTGTATCCACCTAGACAATATCCCTAGGATGACCAGAGCAGAAGGTGGAAACCGCCATTCACAGAAAACAGATTAGAAGTATGATCTAAAAATTGTTGGTGAAATGCTCACTAAATCCAGAGGGAATGCCAAATTCTCTTAGTATAAATATTTTAACAACCATTTCATTTATAGCAGTTAGTCTGCGTTAAATCACAGCAAGCAGAACATCCATTGTAATGCACTTAACTCCCAAACTGAATCTCTTTTATTTATATCTTCTGTATCCCACATATATCTCAATTTCTCTAGCAGCATAGCTTTTTGCTTATCGAGTGATGCATACGCAGGTCAAGAGGACAGGGTACAGTTGCATATATGTGCACAGGGGCAATAAAAAATTCTGTTCTCCAGCGCACCGACTCCCTTAGGCGTGCTCCTGCCGTAGGGCGCCTTCGGGCCACGGGGGAACGTTTTCTTGCTCTGCCAGGGCACGCTCAGCATAGCAGGGCACCGGGGCACCAGGGACACTTACCTGACCAGCCGGGGCGGCGGGCAGCGGCACCGGAGCAGGTTCGGCTGGGGGCTCTCCGGCTGCGCTCTGTGGTTCGGGGTCTTGCTGAGGCGGCTGTGATGCTCTCTCAGCCCCTTCCTCCTCCACCTCTTCCTCCTCCTCTCCTGATGACTCTGTGTGGACTTCATCCAAATCTTCACCATCCACCATCTCCTCCTCTTCCTCTTCTCCCTCCTCCTCTGATAGGACACGCGTAAAAGGACAGGGCTGAACACCACGTGAAGATGGCTACAGTCTTTATGTAATTAAAAAGACATTTACAATTGCCTGGAGAAGCTACTGATAATCTGCTGCCTGGCGGAGGACGCAGGCTGGGGAGAGGGTGTTGGTGAGGAGCCTGCTCCCACACCAGCTTGGCCTGGGCACTGCCATGGAGCTGCCAGCAGTCCCTTCGCAGCAGGGCGGACACCGAGCACACACGCCTGTTAAAATCTTAAGCTGGCCCTTTCCGTGGGAAGGAGGACAAAAAGTCCTGCCAATGCAGTTATCTCATGAGGGATATGCAGCACGGCTCTGCACCTTTTGGGGAGAGGACAGCTGGTCTGGCACAATCTGCCAGGGAAAAAAGTCCCTCTTGCAATTTGAGATATATGCTTGTTTTAAACCCCGTTGAAGCCATCGTAATAAATCTTTACCAGGTGAGTGTTTCACAGTACATGACTGGAGGTTTGGAATACCAACCTCCCTAAAACCAGCCTGTCAAACTTGGTCAAACTGTCACTTTTGTGTCATCTGACATTCTGTTGTCAGCATTCGTGGCTTGGCTTGTTTCCAGAGGGAGCCCTCTAACAATGCATTTTTTTTTTTTTGCATCATCACACTACCCATCCTCACAAACGTCGGGCGTTATCCTGAGCCACCCTAGCACTTCAGAGGAATAAACTTAGATGGATGCGTTAACCCAAGCTCCAAACTGGCTGTGCGTTTCGCACAGGTTACGGTTCTGCCCGAGTATGTAGAAGGAATGTAGATCTGCAAATTAAGTAACGCCCTCATAACGGAGAAAAGTTTCTGCAGGCAAACACAGTCCTATGAGCAGAGAGCTGAACCTCTGCTTCCACGTCCCCTGGCTGCAGAGGACCTCGCTGACTGTAGCAGGAGTTTCAAATGCAGGACTGAACTCCCGATTGCCAGAGCCCTTGCTAACGCCTTGTCCCCAAGAGGGGGGTGTCACTTTCCCCATCACGTGGTGGGGGTGCGTGCCCGGGAGCACGAGGCCACGATCTTGGCAGATGGGCGTGTGTGGCAGGGAGGTGGCAGCTGTGGCTGATCCCAGGGACGAAGCGGGCACGAGGCTGTGACTGGGGATTGTCCCCTGCCAGGACAAATCCCTGGGGGTTCACGGCCCTGCGAGATGGCACCTGCTCCTCTGCTGCTGACCGGTGCCACAGCTGCTGTCCCGCTACACGGACCCCGTGCCAAGCACAGCCAGCCCACGGGGCCCGGCCTGCGGAGCAGGATCAGCACAGCGGGCACGCGGGGTCCCCCGTGGGGAGCAGCCACGCTCTCTGAAGCGTGAGACTGTGAGAAGCGATGGGTGGCGTCCACATGAGACTTCACCAGGCTGATAAAGATAAATGTAAAATTACTAGTGAAATCCAGCGCTAGCAAGAAAATTAGAGATATCCAGATGACTGTTACTGCTGCCTTTTAATAGTTGAGATCTGCTTATTTGAGACATTGATCTCCATTAACTTCCTGTGGCTTATTCCGTAGGGTAAAGCATGGGTGAGCCTAGATTTCAGGCTGCTTTGGTAAATGTAGAATTACAACTCTGCATTATTACAGAGACATATTAATGTCTAGTCATGTCATGTTTAGTCATGATGACATGACAAATGACACGACACAAGATGTTAAATGTATGAAGGATGATGAAAGTTTCTGCTTCCTGCTATAACTCTGTGATCTTGAATTTTGATTATGTTTGTTATATTTCTCAATTATTATATAAAAGAATTTTTAAAAGTATCTTTCATAAGTACTTCTTTTAGTAATAAGCATTCTGTTTCTTTAATGACTTTCTAGAGCAGACAGGCCATGCAATAATGACATTTTTTAGGGAAAAAAGGACTTTACAGAATGAGATAAAACCTTGGTTTTGTGGTCCCTTGACATGAGGAGTCAGCAAAAATCATGGGCTGAAGAAAGTGTTGAGGCCACGTAAAAGGTAAGATCAATGGTGTCAACAAGTTATGTAATTTTTTAACTGTGATGGATTTTTGCTTTTGATCAAAATTTATACAAAATGGCCTAGTTATACTTTGGGATAGAAACAAATATCTGATTCAAGTTTTCCTACTCAGTATCATCATGTAAATCACACACAGCTGCAATTTAAGAAAGCAATTTAGGTGAAATAAATTACATACCTCTGTCAAAATCAATTTCTCGTATTATCTTTTCTTCTCTACTGAGGTTCACTGTGAATTGGTTCATGTTTTCATACCCATCCTCTATTTTTTCCATTTGAAATCCTTTAGATGCTTCCGTAATTCTAAAACAGAGAAATTGGTTATTGGCATTTGGGTTTGCAGATAAATTTGTAATTTGTAATTCATTATAAAGATCAAGAGTTTCAAGTTTAAATACTTACTTTTGTAGCAGTGTTTTGGCATTCTGTGAAAACAAAAAGGAAATAACTGACTTCTTAAATGGTTCCATTTTTCAGAGATTTTATGCATTGAGATCTAATTCTTACACTGGCTGCTTCTAAACACACTAATATGGATCTCATAAATGACAGCCATGAGATCTATGAATGAGATCAAATTTGGATGGTAATTAGTACACAGCTGAGCAAACTTTTTAGTTCATTGAAGACTTTTTATTGAAATCTGAGTATGATGGGAAATACGTACAATTTCTACAAAAAAAAAAAAAGGAAATATTTTTGCTCTTTTTTTTTGTGTGTTTGTGATGAAAAGCAGTTGTTCTGTTACCATCTTTAGTCACAGCAACCATGTCTTTGGCTATCCATAAGGGCATACTTCTGGAGCCACAAAATTTTATTTGTCTGGAAAGAATATTGTATTCTTCAGAGGCAATACTTTGATGGAAATAAAAGAGTTTTTTTAATAGAAAACACTCGTCCAGCCTTTAATATAGAGCAATTGTAAACTTGCAGGACAGAAGTTCTACACCAATGAATTCACTGGACAGGCTGCTAATGGTTTCTTAATCAGCTCTCCTAAGTTTATAATAAGAAAACAAAAAAGGAAAAAAAAAAAAAAAAGGAAGAAGTAAAGGCATAAAAACTTGATTCAGAACATAAATATTTAAGTCTTGGAAAGTTAATCACTGTCGATGTGCAAATGAAACCTATAACTCACAGTACTTCATATACACATATATTATAGTGGTGGGACAAAAAAGGTACGTTGGAAAATGTTAAAATTCCTGGTTTTTTCTTTGGGGACTAGAAATTCATACAAAGGATGGTATATTTCGGTGCAAATAGAAAATACTCACATTCTTGGTTTGGATACTATTCACAAGAAGGCTAATCATTTATCTGTGCTGATGCAAGTGTTTAAAAAATGAGTTTGTATAAATGTTGACTCAAAGATGACCAAACTCTTAATGTGCCTAGAATTGAGAAATGCTTAAATAGTATTTTGATAAATCCATCTTTCTTTTTCTATCTCTATTTATAGACTTTATACCTGCAAAAACACAGCCATTTCTGGTTCTTCCATGAACTGGATTCCTGATTCAACCAGCTTTGACACAGCTTCCAAATGATCCGCATACTTCTTCATCAGGGAGCGGACGTGTTCCAGTTTCTCCTCTTGGGTTCTAGTGATTATTTGTGTCATCTCATTTTTTCTTTCTTCCAGTACAGAATAGAGATAATCAAATTTTTCACACAGCTGCTCTTTCTGTCGTCTGCAGCATTCCTGTGAATCATTTGGTTTATGTTAAACATGTTATGTTCTTAAAAGCGTTTCTATTTTTACAGTTACTTGGAAGCATTTTCATCAAAGAGATTCCTCTTTCTGAACAGTGCAAAGGATTCTGAATGACCCCAGAGACTTTTAAAATTTTTCAAAGTCCGAGCTATTGGAACAAAAGTTTTAAAAGTGTTCTCAAACTCTGAGTTTCAAGCCACTGAAAGCCCCCAAACAAGTTACTGTATAACTTGTTAGCCTGCTAAAAAATTGTCAAAGGTATTTATGATGTCTGTAGAGACACACGAAAGTCTGCAGAAAAAGTAAAAATCCCCACCATATTAGCAGCTAGGTTCATTTGCATGAACAGAACGATTTTTAAAGGAGTGAGCATCTCAGATCAGCTCTGGACAATTTTCTTTTTCTACCAGAGAACCTGGAACTGTCCTGGCTGGGCTTGATTTTCACATACACCCTCTTAGACTCTATTTTGACAATAGGTGTCCATTATGTTCCATTTACTGTGCACTGAATCCGGTAAAGGTACCATGAAGAAAATGGTGTGTGACAAAAGCACGAAGACAAGAAGGAGGAATCAGGTTTCCACTCTACCTTCAAGCACTGATTTTCACATCATTTTTTGAGACACTTTTATTGTCCTTCCAACTAGACAACACAGCATATTTCACTGAGTAAGGCGGATGGGTTTGATGCCTGCTTCATTGAGTGCTCTCTAACAAGAACACACTGCACTTGCAAGGGAGGATTTATGGGGAGGAAATCGGAGACAGGTAATCTATAATGTCTGAGGTCTACCAAATAAAAGTACTTGAGTCATCTGCATGCCCCAGGGCACACAGATGGGCATAACCTTATTGTGGTTATATATGGTTGCGGATGGTGGTGATTATTTAAATCTCTTTCCTAGGAACTGAGGCTGAATCAATTCCTCATCTTCATCCCTTGAGGCGTAATGCTGAGATCCTGGCAGCACAGGATTATTAACAGTCCCACAGTACTTTTGGAAGTGATAAGACTGATTATTCATAGCACTGGGCCAGAGAGAATCCCACTTTTTTCTTGACTTTCTGCCAGAGCTCTTTCCTATAAGTGGTGACAGTCTGCTCTGTATCATTCAAAAGGAGAAAACCTTTTGAAGATGGATGTGTGGCCAAAAATCATTGTCTACATTGAGGGGTGGGGGCAGAATACAGATCTTGTTGCAGTGACCCAAGTATCCACCTCTGCTTCCCAATGAGAAAGACTAGGCTAAACAGGCACTCCTAATTTAAAACTCCTTGGGGGGGGGGGGGGGGGGGGGGGGGGGGCGGGGGGGCAGGGGAGGAGGGGGCAGGCTTGTCCCGCTCTTCTGGAGGTCCTTGCTGCTTCCCAGAAATTCCTGATTAGTGAATTATAGGGTGGGGACGGGCAAGGCAGCTTTCAAACCAAGTGAGTCATGGTTCCTGGGTGTCATTCTATTGTTCAGATCTCAAATAATCTTATTCTAGTCTTCCACTTCTCTCCTAGCCTTCTCCCAGGGTTTCCTGCACTTCCGCTTGCTCCAGACTTCTTCGGTTTAGTCTGCCATGACCTCCTCTGAAATGTCATCCAGATCACTTGTAAAACAACCTTAATTACAAGACAGGTGTGTGCTATCTTTGCCATTTGACACAGGACAAGCGGTAGGGGAAGAAGAGCAAGAGAGTGATATCAGGGTGCCCTGAGAGATCCTTCCCTATTTCTAAGCTCTAATATATAATATCTCCTGCCAGCAGATATTACAGAGTTGAGAACTTCTAGAGTGAGAGTACAAAACATATTCCTAACTGCAAATGCTGAAATATTTCTGAAATATTCTCTTTCTGTATAAAATGTTCCTGTATGAAGTCTCTATGTGATGGAATTACCCTAATCAGATTCTGAGTAATGAAAAAGGTTAGCAAATACATGACTTTCCATTCTAAAAAGTTCTCAGCCTTTTTGTGTTTTAAAGAACAGCTGCAGCAAAAAGAAGGGAGCCCTTACCACTGAGCATGAGTCGCACTGCTTGTTCTGAAGTATCTGTATTGACTGGTTTACGCTATTAGCATTTGAAAGAAACACTAATTTTTCCTTCATTATTTGACTCATATTGTTTACAGGGCTAAACACTGATTAATTATTTATTTTGGTTTTCCAGTATTTAGCATTTTATATTCCTTTTTTTATTATTTTCAGTATAATACGTGAATTTGGTTTACCTTTCAATCAGTTAAAAGCTATACAAGTATTAATCAGGTTTTTTGGTTTTCTGTTTTTTAGGGTTGGATAGGAGCAATAGCTAAACGTAGAACTGTAGGCTATTGCTTACTCCAGCTGAAAGGAAAATGATCATGCATTTTCTGCTAAAGCAGATATTTATTGTTCTCTGCAAAGTGTTGAGCAGAGAGAAGAGACAATCCTGGATTGTAAGCATTATTTCCATGTGTGCACATTTCTCAGCTCCAGCTGTTGCTTTTTATCTTCAAGGACAAACTGATGTCAATTCAGACAAAGTTCTTGTATGGTAGGAAATGTGATTTGCTTGAAATGCAACATGGAAGTGCCAAGGTAAGCTCTAAGATCTATTTTCTGCAATCTTTGACTTTAAAGGTGAAAAGCCTGTTAAAACATCTGAAGGTAAAATGGCTGCACTTTCTTTGGGCTTTGAGTTTAAAGGTTAGACTTTAAACTGAGTGGATGACTCTGAGGAAGCTAGTTTCAGAAACTGTTGTACTTAAGGTATTTTTAGCACAATGTTTGCTCCATACTTCAGAGTAGGTGTTTGAAGTTTTGTTTCTGGTTCAGCTAGTTCAACTTAAATGAGTATAAGCTTTTGCTTTTCCATCATTCAAATTTCTGCAGTTAACCTACTTGAAAGGCTTGTTTCTGTCTGCAAAGTCCTGATAGCAGCCAATTTCATCCTTGCAACGTGAAGGCTTCCTGACTACAAAGTTCTGACTGCTGCTAACGCGCTCTCTCATTTACTTGGGCTAATGGTTTTATGTTCTTTGAACCAAACTTGGACATTTTCTGTTCTTCCTTGTTCTGAGGAAATAGTAGCCTCGGGCAATTGTGTACACAGATTGTGGAATCCATTTTTCTTACCAATTAGAATCTATACATCTTGGATTAATTTATTTTTCTCTGCCATTTCTCTTTTCTGCTCCAGCTCTGAAGGGTCAATATAATTCTAATTGGGCTGAGAGGGATGCAACTCCTTCACTAGATGCTTCATCAAACTCTGATCATAAAATCAATTCACATGAGGTCCTTTCAGCTTATTGCTCTGTGATGCTCAAATTGGTCAGAGTTGATATTTATATTTGCTTTGCTGGTGCAAACCTCTTGGAGGAAATGAAAGCCACTTCTGCTATTGAATGAACAAAACTAATTCCAGCCAGAGTAAGTCCTTTACCAGAAAATCCAGTAAGAACCCAAACTCCTCCCTCCCATGAGCTACAAAACAAGACTCCTTAAAAGACAACATAAGTATATCAAAAAACTACTTCTGCACCGTAGGAAAAACAGCTAAATACGGAGCTCACTGACATACTTGGGAGCTCTGCTGTGGCTACAGTGTGGCTGAGACTAAGGCTCTGTTCACAGGACTACACAGGCTTTAGACTGGTCTCTGACAGCTCTAGAACCTAATCTTAGGTGTTAAGTGAGCTGGGAGTTCATTGCATTTTCTTGGATCTGCTTTTAATTTCAGTGATATCCTATGGCATTAAGAATGCTGGACATGATGTGCTGATATCCTCACTCTTTGTCCTCGACCACATGGCCGAGGCAGGGTGGTGAGCAGGATGTATCCTTTGGTTGAGGCAGTACAGCTGATACTGTACAAATTCACAGGTAATCGTTTAGTGAAACAGCATGGGAATGCATTTGGGTAAAGTGAGGCCTGGTAAAGAATTATTGGGACCAGCAGTTTAAAAGATGCGACTTCACACTGAAATAGCTGAATTTAAAGAGGTGGTACCTACCTCAACCGTCTTGCAGGTCTCCTCCAGCTGCGTGACTATCCCTTGCACTCTGTCGTTGCTCCCCACCAGGACTGCAATGCCATCACTCAGCTCGGACTAGGCAGCAAGGGGAGAGTGAACAGGAGCGTGTTAGACACTGTCCCACTTCAGGGTGGCACATCTAACACCGGGGAGCAGGAGACAAACGAGCCATACCAGGGTATTACCTCTTCTTCCCACCGGAACTGAGGAAAATTGGAGCTTTACCTGCCTACAAGTTACCTGCCAGTACTCTGACATTTATTTCCTCTCTCAACACTACAAAAACATAGACATTTTGAAACTTTTCATGGGGAGGAAACTGTGGTTTGTAAAGGAGGAAGCACTTTGTTCTAGGAGGCTCTTCTAGATGCTTTTGTCTGAAGCACTATGCTTCAATAGACCCAGAATATTCCCTTTGGATTTGCTGAGAGAAAAGACTGTCTTTTGAAGGCTTGTTTTTTTTTAGTGTCTGAGTCTAATCACACCACTGTGCTATCTCCCTGAGGACCGTAGCTCTTGGCCTTGGAGAGGAGAAGAGGTGTCCTATGGACCTGGAGGGACCAGGGTGCTACAGAGCCCTTGGCGTGAGGGCAGTGGGTCTGGGGCTGTGGTGAGAGGGGAAGGGAGAACGGGAGGGGGAGAAGGTGGAGGCTGAGCCACTGGCATGAGTGAAATGAGTGGAAGAAGGAAATGACCCGGGTGTGGGGATGGGGATGACTGTGAGGTATCCTTAGAAGAGGAGAGACAGAGAAGTTAGTCCCTAGGAAACTTGGTGAGCGTGCTGGGGAGGGCAAGTGGCCCTGGGCATACAGCTGTAGTGACCAAAGCAGCCCTGTCCGTGGCCTCCACAGCTTTGTAAAGGATCCTTTGAAGCATGCATCCTGCAGCCTCCGCGTTACACCTCCAGTCTTGGGCACGACAGCCCCTTTCCACAGGTGCTCGTGGAAGGAAGCTACTGCTTGCAAAGGGAGCGGTCAGGGGCATGGATTCAGTCCAAGAAACTTCTCCCCCTTCTCCCTCCTTTTTTGATTAAAAAGGATGTTTGTAACTACTTTCCTAAAGCGACTTCTCATTTGTAGTTTCCACACACAAGCATCTGTGTGACAAAGTTGGACGCTGGGATTGCAAACTTGGCCTGTCTGATTGCTTGCCCCACTGAGGCCCTCCAGAAAAATGAGCTGTTTATCTCAGGAGGATAACCCAGTGAGTCAGGTTTTAAATTAATACTGTATTAAAAATAAACAAGTCTTTTACTGGTGACAGCAAGGGCAGAGGATGTTAGGTACATCCTGTGCTGCCAACTATTGAATATTCCTGCATTCACTTGCAGGAGGAGGCTTTTCACTTAACTTTTCTTAAAAATGGGATGCTTAAAAGCAGAAGTGCCTGATAGATGACTATTTGATTTGTACTGGTCTGTTCTCTTTCCAGTTCATGTGTTGGAAACCCCACTTGTTTTTCTGGTCTAAAAGCACTGAAAAAAAGAGATTAGGAACCTTGAAAGAGAGAACCTCAGCTTCACATCAAATCACTCCCTAAAATGTTTACTCACTATACTAACAAAAATTGGAACACTGTAATATCTTTCTGTGTGACCTCTCATAAATTTTTTTTCCTGTGTTTCTAAACAGTTCCTACAGATTTGTATGAGCCTTTCACTCACACACAGAAATGGCAAAGGCACCCTCAGGCCCTTTTGTAAACTCACAGGAAGCCCATGGGAATGCTTTCCTGTCCATAGTCCCGTCATTTGCTGAGAGGACTATGAGATACAAGAAGATATTTACCTTCTGTCGCTGGTAAACATTTGTGAGAGGAGCAACTTGACAGTCTTTGTGGGCACCAAAGACTTTGCACAAGGAGCAAGTGGGCATTTCACAGTTCAAACAATAGATATTAATTCTTTCATCTTCGTGCTCTTCGCACATTGGCTGGTCACACTTCCTTTCGGGTCTGCAAAAGAAAAGAAGTTTAGAACAAACTTGATGCTCATGAGTTTCTGACAACAACACGTAGGGTACCAGCAGGAAATACGGCACATTCATATCGCAGTGTCCAAGGCTGACCTGAATATGCAGCGTAGGCTTAAACCCGCCACACAGGATGATTAAACAGGCAGCGGTACAACTTAATGTCCTGACACAACAGGCTGTGATGACAATATAGCAACATGACTTCATATGGGGATTCCAGCTGGGAGTGTGGCTGAACCTTCACTCATATTTAAAAATGTAAATAACCTCACTAAGACTGATCTCAGACTACTCGTGTGCTTTAATTAGCATGTTATCTAACATCTGTCTGAAATACGAAACGTATGTAATTTCTTTCGGTTTCATCACTCAAAATGTTGGGCCCTTGGCCTTGATGCGGCAAAGATCTTACGCAGTGGACTAATTTGAAGCAAGAGTTGTAGATATTGATGGACCTTTATGTCCTTAACTCTTTAACTCTGCTGATGAGCTTTGCGAGGCCCAGGTCAGGACTGTCAATATCAAACTGGTTGGGTCCTTATGGCCTTTACACTAGGCCAGCAACCAAAATAAGGTCTCACACAAATTAATTTTAGATAGGTGGCATGCGTCTAGCCTGTACAGTGTCAAACTTTTTAACAGTATATACAGATGAATACTCGATTGTATTCATCTCCAAGGGCATGGGTCACACAAGAAGTGTTCCTCTCCTGTGCTAAACAAGGAACTGTCACAAGACTATAGCTCAGTCCTGATCTTCTCTTCACCAAAATGCTTTAGCCACATACATACCACAAGGCAATCCATGCTATATCAGGAACTACTTCAGTTGTAGCTTCGAGCCTCCAAAGGTTGCCACTCCTACTGTGGCAATGTTAGATATTCCCAACATTAGCCATTATCCCCTTCTGCTACCAGTTCGAAGGAGAATTATTACTTACCTGTAGCAAGTGCAACAGTGGCATCATAGAAATATATATTTTCATCATTAGATAGAAAATATTTTCCAAAATCATAGAATTTAATGGAATTTCATGGAAACATTTTTTTAAAGCCATTCCACAGAGCTCTGTAGTAAGGAGGCAGCTGGCCATTCTATTCAAGTTTAAAACTGTATGGAAAAAAATCATTATTTTAGCTTATATTAGAGCAGAGTTTTTCCATATAGTTTGTTAGAGTGGACATGGCACTTATTTTTAAATTACAAAGTACAGATTTTCTCTTCTGAAGGGAATGGAATCAATTAGATGCATTTGAAAAAAGATCAAGCAGCAAAGAAAATGTCTCATGCATTCATATTTTTTAATTTCAAGAGGCAACTGGAATTTAAAGGGTTCATAATGAAAGTCTGTAATCTGAAATATAACAATATACCAGAATAAAACAGGATGGACACTTCTGAAGGAAGCCTGTATTATTTGGGTCAGATTTACATAAGGCACTCAGTGTGTTAAATCCAGCATTATTTCAATGATAGTCAAGAGAGGTGTGTCTCCACTATAAAAAAAAAATGCTTTATATTGTTTGAACATGACTGCAAACAGCCCCTAATACATTCATGTTATAGTGCACCAGTGGGAGGGCCTGCATGTGAGGGCAATAACAGACAATGAATTTCAAAGTGATTAATTAATCCTGAAATAGCTGCTCTTCCTGCAAATATTTACAAGACCAGAACCAGAAACTACTAGAATGTTATTTGACACTGGAATGGTGCCACTAGCATGAAAGACACATAGCACAGGGTAAAAAGGTGATGGTGTCAAGCAAGTTCAGCCAGAAGTAGCCAACCTTCAAAGGTGCCGCAAAGAGCTGGAAGAAACCTGGCAGAACTCCCTGAACTAGTGGGGCCTTGAAGACAGTGACAGAGGACTAGAAGTAAACAGATCTACAGTCTCCTTCCTAGGCTGTACAAAAGGAAAGATTTTTAGCACAACATTCCCTGACTTCAGAAGGGAACCTCTAGGTCTGTGTTGGTGTAGCAAAGGCCAAAACACAACCTCTAAGTTTAAATGGTGGCTGCTCCTGAACCAAGAGTTTATGGAGTAGCCGATAGGGAAATGACAGCATGTCTTTAGTAGAAGAAAAGATCCATCACAGCTGGGCTTGTGACCAAAGAAGCAGCAGGTTGCAGAAGTGGCCTAACAGCTTTGTGCTCTTGTTCTCTGACTCTGCTCTTCGAGATGCTAAGCCTGTGTTCGACTGCTAAAGGCTTATTCTTTTCCATTAAAATTTGGTTCGGACCTTAATACGTGGAGTGTTGTGCATGTTTTATGGAGAGGAGGATTCTCAGCACTGGCAAGGCCACACCTCGAGTACCGGGTCCAGTTCTGGGCTCTCCAGTACACAAGAGACAAGGACAGACCCCAGAAAAGGGCCATGAAGATGATTAAGGGTCTAGAAAATCTCTTCTGTGAGGAAAGTCTGAGAGAGCTGGGAGGAAGGTTCAGAGGGATCTTAACAGTGACCTTGATCTTATCTATACCTTCAGGTATCTAAATACCTGAATGGAGGGTGAAACGAGGACTCTTTTCAGTGGCTCCCGGTACCAGGACCAGTGGCAATGGGCATAAACTGAAACACAGGAGGTTTCCTCTGAACATCAGGAACCAGTTTTTCACTGTGTGGGTGACCAAGCACTGGCAGAGGTTGCCAGGGGAGGTTGTGGAGTCTCCATCCTTGGAGATATTCAAAAGCTATATGGACATGGTCCTGGGCAACTGGCTCTGGGTGGCCCTATTTGAGTCGGGGGGTTGGACCAGACGACCACCAGAGGTCCCATCCAGTCTCAGCCATTCTGTGATTACATGATCTGGTTAGGAAATGCAAAGTTGCTGAGCACATAAAGGAGCACACTTTAATTAAGGACATAGTAAGACCTTAGGAAAATTGACGCTTAGTTAGAAGGCATGTGTTCCTCAGGATATTTACAAATCCCAAAATCTTTCTACTGATATCCTGAATCCAGCTTTTATAGTGTTTCTACTGAAGACCCTAAGATAGCTGTAGCCCTTCCTGTATCATCGCATCACCTACTGCCTGCACCTGGTCAGGGAATTGAGAGAATCTACATGACTATATGAGGCACAGTCAGGCCATTAGTGAAGATATTAAACTCTATTGGCTCCAGTATCAATCTCGGTCATATACCACTAATGGCTCACCTTCACCTGACTTCATGCTGTTCACCATGGCCCTTTGTGTCTGGCAGTTCAGCCAATTTTCAGTCCACTGTCCACTCTAGACCTTATTTCATCAGTTTGTCAATAAAGATGTTACAGGAGGCAGTGTCAAAAGTCTAGGTAAACAACATCCACTACTCTCACTCACTGAGTTAGTCAGCTCACTATAAAAGGCTAGCAGGTTGGTCAGGTTGATTTCCCCTTCGTAAATCTGTGATGACTATTTCTAATCACCTTCTTATCTTTTATATGTTTGAAAATGCTTTCCAGGAGGGTTTGCTTGAACAACTTTTCAGGGACCAGTGTGAGGATGACCAGCCTGTATTTCCCTGGATTCTCCTCCTTGCATTTCTTGAAGATTGGAGCAACATCTGCTTTCTTCCATTCCAGTCCTCAGGAAACTATCCCGATTACCACGACCTTTCAAAGATTATTGAGAGTGGTCTTGCAATGACATTAGCCAGCTCCCTTACCACTCATGGATGCCTCCCATCAGGATATCCATTTTTTTTTTTAATATTCTCTAACCTGATCCCCTTCCACTGTGCATAAGTCTTCCTTGTTCTAGACTTTCCTGTTGGTCTTGGAGGCCAGGGATTCTCGAAGACTGATCTTACCTGTAAAGACTGAGGTGAAGAAGCCACTGAGTACCTTGGCCTTTTCTATGTCCTTTGTCACATGAGCCCCTGCTCCATTTAAAAGTGGACCTATGCTTTCCCTAATCTTTCTTTTGCTGCTGATGTACCTGTAGAAGCTCTTCTTTTTAGCCTTTATGTCCCTCACCAGATTCAGTCCCAGGTGAGTTTTGGCTTTCCTAACTCCATCTGTACACGCTTGGATAGTGTCTCAAAACATTCCCAAGTCACATGTTCAACTTCTTTTTGCTTCTTTTTTTGTCTTATTTTTATCAGGAACTCCCTGTCAATCAATGCAGGTATCCTGCCACCATTGCTTGAGTTTCTCTATATGGGGACAGACCATTCTTGAGCTTGGAGAAGATGGTCCTTGAAAATCAATCCCAGTGCTGGACTCTGCCAAAAGCAATGAAAAGCCCATCCATATCCAGGGTAGAAATGGGGCTTGAAAAGTGAGAAGACCATAGAAGTTCATATGGACATAGGGATTCCTGCAGCTCCATTACGCCAGTACGGTTGTGAATGTCTGGCCCAAGAAAACCATTGGTGCAGGTGAGCTTGGGGATTTGTCTCCATGGGGAGCTGGAGAACATCCAGGTGATCTCTCTCCTCATCTCTTTTGCTGCATAGTCTGCACGGCTCCTTCCGAAGCTGCCTTGCTTTGGTGACCTGTAGGCAGGGAGCCCATCTTTCTGGCCCACCTTATCCGAGATCCCCAGGCATCCCCGCAGCCCACCCTGGAGAGCCACGTCTTCCCTTGGGAGCTCTGGCTGAGGCCTCCGAGGTGTCAGGGGTAGCTTCTCCTGGCAGTGCCGGCTACCCTGTCCCGCAGCACGTCACCACCGTTGCAGAGCCCACGCACCACGCTCTCAGCACAGCGCCCGGTCCCTGCTGTGCTCCATCCGTGCTCGGGGCCGTGGGGACAGCCTGTAGCTAGGGCTCTCCCGGGTAGGTGTGAGGCAGAAAGAGCGCTCAGCCCTCCCTGATCAGGGTTCAGCTGGTAACAAAGCCCAAAGTGCCTTTTGATCAGGAATAGCCGGCCGAGCTTGTTAGAGGCTGCCAGAGCTTGCGAGAAGTCACAGCCCACTGTTGCTACCCTTCCCTGGTGGCAGCAGGCGCCCTGATGTTCCTCATATAGTTCAGGTAATCAGTGGCCTACAGACTTTCAAAGATTGGTTTAGTATTTTAGCCAACTCTATTTCCACAGGGTTCAGTCCTTTGCTGTCCTTTAAAGCTTTGTAGGAGCCATGTCCTGCTTGAAGTTTTCTTTCCTTGTGTTGCTAATAGATTCTAAATTAGGCAACAGGCTACACTGTCATCAGCTGGAATTTGATGAGCAATGGGATAAAAGACCATACGATGTGATTTTTAGAAATAGGAGGGGCTGCACGTGAGGGCTTGGGCAGAACTTCCCAACCCTATAGCCCAGCTCCTGTCCTAGCTTTTATTTCAAAAAGCCTAATTCCTTAATTGAAATAGAAACTCAAATTTAAATAAAATATTTTTGAAATAAATTATTTTTGCCTAAGCAGGAGACAAAGCTTGCTCTCTAGCTGAATTTCCCTCACTCTCCTAACTTAATTTGCAATGAAGCTGGGAGTTGGCATCATTCTGGCTTACACAGTTATGGTGAATTATATGCACAGGATGACTTGAGGGGAGGAGGCTTCTGTCTGGAAATCACAGGTGCTGCCAGTTTGAAAGGTTGTCTTGGGAAGAAGCAAGGAGGAAAAGGTCACGTCTCGCCCTTCCTTTATGTACCTCTGCCAGACCCCAGCCCTCAGTTTGGAAGAGACGGGTACAGAAGGAAGAAGTGGAGAAGAACTGATTTCCTTTGACTTTTTGGTTTCAGTGGGACAGCAGAGGATAAAGCCATGGCAGATCTTGCTCACACTCTGGTGGGAGCCTGGGGAACATTAGGCAGAGGGAGATAAGCAGCTGAGGCCTACAAAGTGCCAAATAGCTTAGATAATGCTGCAATGCGTTGCCGCTGCTACATAACCCTGACGATAACTTTCATTCTGAGGACACAGATGAAGGTTAAATAAGCACCTTAACAAACTAAATAAAGGAACCTTTTGGACAAATATCTAAGCAAACATATGTTCATATTTGTATTTTTTTTCTGTTCTCCCCTTTTATTCATTATGTGGTTTATTTTCATGAAATTTTAAAAAAATCTACTAAATCTCTTACATTTCTGTTTAACTGAATTTTGTTCCAATTACCCACAAACTACATGGGAAAAGGAACTGCATTTCTTTAAGTTAAATACAGCTGTGGGCTGAAAAAAATCCCAAACCCAAGAAAGACATGAGGCCACACACTGTCCAGCTTATTTGGTCAAAAGCAAAGTCCGGCACTGTAGCTTTGCTGATTCATTTCCTCCGAGATTTTCCTGACTAAAATAATATTTGGGTATCAATGACACATACAAGGGTAGCTGAGCTTCCCTTGGCACTGAGTGTGAAGGGCAGCAGAAAGGACAATTTTAAGCCAACTTTGTGCTCTTCCATGCTTTGGAGCTCCAACCTATGCCCAGCTACAACAGTCCCCAAAGGGATTCAAACAGCTGAGAATAGCCAAAGCTGCCGTCAAGGTCTGAAATGTTCTCTGTGCTGGTGGCTGTCCTCCTCTGCCAGAGGAGGGTAGAAGTGCTCTGAGCCATCCCAGGTGTACAGAACACCTTCCCATACAAAGCTGGCCCTACAGATCCACGCTGGTGACAAAAGGCAGCTTCCCTGGGGGAGAGATGCTTGCTTGGTGGCCCGAAGCCAGAGTTAGCTTCTCCCTTACTAAGTTCCCGATGGTGGTACCATGCATCCGACCCAACCCAGGGCAAGAGAGACAAGAACACAACATCTTTCTATTGCTGGATCCATTACACATCCAATACAGGCGATTAACACTCAGGAGTAACCTTACTTTTTAGGATGAATCCCCTCCTCTGCCCTGAGGTTCTGATTCTTGTACACAGACACACAGCACTGATACATATTATTTCTGGCTATTCCTTCTCTTTTATGGAGTCCTAAATAAGACTTGATTTCATGGGTTCATCTCCCAAGCTGACAGCAATGGAGATTTTTTTTTTTATTGAGTCTTGATTTGACATTATGATTCAGGGTATCTTCTGTGTGAAATTTGGTTTTCTTCTTGTTTGCACTGCCTGTCCCTTAGGATTTTCTAACAAGATTTGAAATTTCTTATCCTTCTTTAGCATGAGAACACACAGGTTAAAGATGAATAAGAATCATCTGAACTGTTTTTAAAGTAAACGATGTGAACCTAGCTACTTTTCCCTTATTCATGTGGTTGCCATGCTGACCTCAAGGGCTTTGCTTGCATGGGTAAGTGTTGCTCATGTGAATAAGCATGGTACCATCCTCTGCTATAAGTGGAAGCAGGAAAATCCAGCATCTATTTGGATAACGGTTTTCTGTGCTCAGTGAGAGCTGACTTCATTGCACAGACAACAGATAGGCATGCATGGCAGCACGATCCCTTTCCACATTTCCGAGAAAGAAAACAACTAAATCAACCTCACATGTGCCGAATGGAAAAACCAAAGGCCAGCGGTCTCTTAAGCCACGCCTGCTTTTGTGGCAAACCTCCTCTGAAGGGCACGCATTCACTCGTTACCTTGTGGACTCCTGCTTGTAGATGTCGATGATGTTCTCCACCAGCAGGTTCCTCTGCAGCCCGTAGACGCCGTGCCGGTCGAGGACCACTTCGTGCCTGCAGGAGGGACAGCGAAAGCGGCCTCCCGACGCCACGGTTGTGCCTCCCCTTGTCGGCAGGTAAGGGTTGGAGGCCTGCTCTTGCCAAGCAGCACGAGGAGAGGTGAGTAAGGCCATGCAAAACCACGGAAACCTCTTTCAGAAGCACCAGGGCAAAAACGTGCTTGTAGGAAATTGTCAATATGCCCAAGGGGAGGGTAGCTCCAGCAAGCCAACCCCCAGGAAAGCACCCGGTAGCTGCTGGGTGAGGGGCCAGTTCCTCAGCTCACACGGGTGGCCGTGTCCCACAGCTAACAGGCGACACTTTAATCTGCTGAGGGCTCAGCCATGGCTCCCGGGGACACTCAACTTCTGCTTTAAGTCGCTACCCCCCCTCTCCCCCCCCCCCCCCCCCCCCCCCCCCCCCCCCCCTTACTATTGAAAGCAATCAACCGACACATGTTAAAAAAATCTGCTTTTCATTCATTTCAGCCAGTGCTGCTTGGGAAGCAGAGCTCTGTGCGGGAAGAAACCTACCTGGAAAATGTCGCTGGCACATTTCCGACAGAGGTTGTGCTGGCAGGGCAGGATGACCACAGGCTTGGTGAACATCTCCAAGCAGATGGGGCAAATCAGCTGTTTCTCCAGGTTATCCATGGTTTGCTGCTCTTTGGAGAAGGACTTGTAGTTCAGGGAGGTGCTCATCCCTAGCTTTTCCAGGGGCATACGCTCAGGATCACGGCCTCGCGGAGGGGTTTCCGGGTTAATTTCCTTTGAAATAAGGCCAAGGCTGCGCTGCGATCAGAGGCTCCCTGTGTCGCTCTGGCCGGAGGACATTGTTTAAACGAGGGGCCGAAGGGAGCCGGGGCTGTTTTTAGCAGCGCGGCGTCACAAGATGCCACGCTGCCGTGCCCATATAAGCGCGTGAGAAGGGGACAGGCTGGGACAGGTGACGGCTGGTGGGGGGGCCGGGGGGGCGGCCGGCGGGGCCCTGGCTCTCCTCACTCGCACATGGCAGCCTTCACCCCTCAAGGAGGAGGAGGGCGAGTGATAAGCAAATGCAACCCGCTTTCCCCCCCCCCCCCCCTTATCTCTGCACGGCGGCGGGGAGTGTGGGGCTGCCCCGATCTGCCCAGCCACACGCTGCAGCCTAACAAATACTCTGTTTCGAGCAAGCAGCCACAGCCGTGAGATGCAGGATGTAATTTTGCCTGTGCGTTTTGGCAGGGTCCAGGACCTTGCCTTTCCAGGGTGTGAAGCACACCAGGTTGATGGAGAAGACAATAGGAGAGGTGGCTGCGCTGGAGCTAAGCCACCTCAGGGCGTAAACATCTCACCACCTTGGAAACCAGTTTAAAAAAAAATTGCCTGCCTATAACTGTGCTTAAGTTTCTTCCGGTATGATTTTTTTTTTTTTTTTTTAGGTGCTGTAACATAAGAATCTAACAAGACAATTCAAGCCATTAACTCCCCAGCAGCTTGAATATGCACCGAAATCAGTATTTGAATTTCCTGATGAGAAAGAGGCAGAAGAAATACAGTATGAAAAGCTTTCATTTGTACTGCAAGAGAATAGGTGCTAATTGTATATGCTCTCTCCCCGCATAGTTTAATTCAAATATATTTTGGTTTTGGGCACTGCTGTGTTTATATCTGTTTATTAGACACTGATATCCCTCTCAGCTTGGCACTTGTTCCAGAGTTATTTTTAAAATGACAATTTCCCAGATAATTTGTGGCATGTGATGCCTGATCTTAAGGGAAAGCCATCTGTGCTTCTACTTGCCAATAATTTATCACACAACTGTACAAGTAATAAATATCTCATCCTCAAATTTAAGCCAAAGTCCCTGCATGTACTGTATAAAATCACTTTGCCACTGTACTGTACATGTAATCAGAATATTGTCTTCTCTTTTAATCAATAACTACAATACTTTCTCTGCTAAATATCTCGTAGAAAGCTCTCATGTTTATTCTACCTCGTGACTGTAGAGGGCTTGCATCTGAAATATACTGTAGAGTGGCTGAGCAAGTCCCCTACGTGTCCAGGGGCAGATCCCGACTCCAAAGCAGGGCCCTTTGTCTGCGTGCAACATCAGTCTGTGAAATGTGAACTTCAGGGAAACATAAAAATGAAGGTTTTCATTGATTTCCGTATTAAAATTAATACTATTCTCTGCATGCAATGGCAATGAATCACATTAAATGTATTATTGGCTACTTTATTTTCAATGCCTCGCATACTTTTTAAGTGATTGGGTGAAATCCTGTACCCATTTGCAGCCCACCAAGCTGGAATTTCCCCTACGTAAACGTACACATTTCTCAGCAGTCACATAAAAACAAATAGATTTTTCTGAAGTCTTGCACTCACGGGAAATTTGTGATAGCTTAATTAAACCCGTCTGAAATCACACCTTCGCTTTGACTGCTTGGTGCAGACCAGAGCCCGGAGCCGAGCGGGAGAAGCGGCTCTGGCAGCTGAGCCACGGACAGCTGGGGCTTTGGCAGGGCTGGCGGGGAGACTTTCCTGGCAGCAGACAGAAAATATTTCTCTTCTTCCCCTCCCCTCCGTGGCCAGGTCAGAGGTGACTTTCGTGTCTGGAGGAATTTGAATGCCTCATTCCTACCCTCCTAACTCTGAGTCAGCTGCCCCTTGATCACCAAAACCTGCCTTAATAAGTAGGGGCTTTGAATTAGATGAGGAAAACTGTCCTTCTCTTAGTGAGGCAGGCACTTTCACAGGCAGAAAGAGAGAAATTCTGGGAGGAAAAGCTGAAAGCTGGAAACATCAGTGCACAGAAACACCTTTGGGCGGTGAGGTAGGGAACGGGGTGTTCACAGCATGGAAAAAAGCTGGGGGACTGTGCTGCTGTGCCGACCCTTTGGACAATGAACTGAGGCACCTCTCAGGGTGTAACATGCCTCTGGGTTGTAATTCTGGTGAATTTATCCTTACCTGTGGCAGCCCATGAAAGCCTTCTGTCAATAGGCTGAGCGTGACACCTGATTCATCTGCAGAGGACATCTGATGGCAACAAGGTGAGGGACACTCTGCTGCTGGTTTTTCTCTTCCCGTGTGCTGAAGCACGCTAACATGGAACAGATAATAAACAGCACAACCACAAAAAGGAGCTGATAAAGATAAACCCACCTTCTGCAGCCAGACCTAAGCAGAAATATTTTTCTGGCAGGAACTTGTAGTTCAGACACATGAAAAATTAGTACAGGCTTTTCTGTCAAATTATTATGAACCACAGCAGTGATTGCTAGGTAAAGAAACGCGGAGGCTCAGCTGCGCTTGCAAAGGCTGGATGAGAAATGCCGTGAAAGCCACGCGTTGTACGACTGTGCTGCAACAAGGAGGAAGAGAAGAACAAAGCCCAAGAGACTGTGGGGCCACGGGACAGTCCTGCAGCTGGTCTTCAGCACAGATTGCTTAGGCTGGATTTTGAAGGGCTTGCACTGAGAAAGAGCTTGGCACCATCCTGTCTCTCCCTGGCAGCCCTGTCGCCCTTCTCTTCCTCCCCTCCCACACCCTCAAGGGAAGACCACCAGCACGCACAGCTGTCCACCTTCAAAGAGTCACCAAGCCAAGCCATCTCTCGAAGGACTGACAGAGGGCAAAAGGATCTGCTTTAACCCCACTCCTGGACAGAAACTCTGGATGTCTGCCAGCCATCACCAAAAACAAATATATTTCTTTAATAATTTTTTTTTTTTCAGTATTGCTTGCCTTGGAATGTTACCTGGCTTTGTTGACACAATCAGAACGCTAGTTCCTAGAGATATGCTTGCTTTTACAGGCATTGCTGCTATCTCCTCTATTTTTGCAGCCAAGTAACAGCTCGCAGGCTGTGGACTGATGGCCAGGAGAGCCTGGAAGGCTGGCTGCAAAGCAGTGGGTTTAGAAGAGGGATTTGGAGGAGGAAGGAGAGGTTGAGCGATGTCCAGGTTCAGGTTTCAACGCCATAATGACATCCCTGGGTTTTGCATTCACAGAATTCCCCTCTGCAACCTCTTATCTTGTACCAGTGCTGTGAAGCTCTCCTGTGTCACAGACAATCTGCCCTGTGACTCTCTTGCATGACTGGAAAACAAAGAGAAAAAGCCTATTTTTGCCAGAGGGTAACTCCCACGTGACTTACCTCCCCACCAAGCCCAGCAGAGACAAAGCCCCCTCTGCAAGCACTGGGCTCCTTGCTGAGACATCCTCACCCGGACGCGGTGGGTGGCGTGGAGCATCCCGGGCCATGGGACGGCAGTGCCCTGGCCTGCTGCCACCCCACCTCCCGCCTGTCCTCGGGGACGAGCGAGCGCCCTTCCACCCCTGCTGCCTAGCCCTGGGGCGGCTGGACCCCTCCACTGGCAGCTACCGAAAGCAGGTGGGCAGCTGCCCCATCGCCCCCGGGGCAGGGATGGACACCCGCCCCCACCCCGCTGCCCCCAGCAGCTCCCAGTGCTCCTGAGGCCGGCGGGTCTCACCTGGGGGCTTTGCACCCGAGCTCAGCTGCTGGAAGAGGACAGGGCTGGTGGGTGCCCTTGGCGGGTAAGAGAGGGGAGCAGCCACCGCTGCTGCGTGGGGGGACCCCCCCCCCCCCCCGGACCCACCTGCCTGTCTTCCCCCAGCTTTGCCCTGCCATGCTCACCTCTGGAGAGAAATCCCGGCTGCCTGAGCAATACAACATCCTAACAAAAATGTGGCTGCTGCCTTCACTCCTGCCCACCCGAATGTGAGATTTGGAGTAAAAATGAAAATGTGGCCTTCCCCTCGCTCCATCCTGCTAACTCTGCTTGTTGCTTTGACTGAAAATGTTTGCATTTTTAGTCAAGCATCCCCTGGGGAGGCTGGGGGGGGAGGGCCTACATCCATCTCACCTTTCGTCCATGCCCATCTACCCTGCAGTGAGCAGTCCCTCATCAGCGGACGGTGAGCACCAGCATTCCCACCCACAGCCAGCATGTCGCAGCAACTCAGATTCCACTTACATTTGCAACAACTTACTAAGCCAATAAGCTGTAAGATGAAGCCTTCCTACCTATACAAGTGCAAACTGCAAACTTGCATTTCATTATTTTATTGTGATCACTAAACACCCCACGATAAATACCGAAACTACCCTTGCATGTGACTCAATTTATGCAGCCAAAGAGAGCCTTTGCAACAGAGACAAACACTTTCGAAACCAGTTGCCTTTTGAGACCATCATTTTTCCATTCAACGTATATATTTATCTTTGCGTACCTCGTATGTGATGATAGGCCAGATGTGGTCAGTATTTGGAGACCTTCTAAAAACAATCTGACAGATGGTTTCAGATCTCCGGGAAAACAAGAACAACATAAGAGATAATGACATCCTTCAAAATTTCCTTTTGCACATACAACATCAGAGCAGCTGGGGCAAGCTCAAAGCATTTCTAAGGGTGAGTCACTGGGAGCACATCAAAATTTCAGGAGCACAGGATTTCAGGGACAAGCTACAAAGACCAGTCAGAGGAATGCTGTCTGCCCTTTTCTTTGGAATAGGGGATGGACACTGACCTGAGCTGAATCATGCCTGAAAGCAGCCTTCTCTGGACTTATCCATGCTCAAGGAACTTCCGTGGTTTGCAGCAGACCGAACCATGGGATAAAAGGGCAGATGAACTAGCTTCTAATTTCTGTTCCAGATTCAGCAGCAGTACCAACATAAATTATAGCAGACAAACCTCAGAGGTTTGGATTAAAAGACCCTGAAACAGGGAGAGTCCATGTACGAACTCCATTGGGGGGTCACCCCCACGTGCTGTGGCTCGGCCACTGGTGGGACACCAAGCCATGGGGTCACTGGTCCTGGCTGTCTGCCTGGGAGAAGGGTCCTGTGGCTTCCTGCTGCCCTACAGAAATGCCAGCACGCCAGCATGGACTCAAGCGTCACCTGGCTTTAGGGTCCACAGGGAAACAGAAAGACCTCCCCAAAGAAAGTCCTGGTTTCCTCACAGTCCTCAAGATCAGGATGGGAAATGGTGGTCAGGCCGTACCCTTCAGGGAGGCAGGGTGATCCCAAATGGTAATTAAGACAAGGTGTTTACCATCTTCCCTGCAGTTACCTGTATTTGCTAAAGTCTCAAAATCAATGAGCCTGAAAAGACAGGTTGAAGGTGCTGCAGAATAACAAACATGAAATTAGTGGTTCAGCATCTCCCTGAGCCATACACAACTTTACAAGCCCAGAGATTTCCAAACCCTCATCCCCTCTACAGATTACTGCTAGAAAGAGATCTGCATTTCACAGGAAAGAGATAAAAGTATGTCCAAAGAACTGGATGGAGGAAGTACTGCACATTGGGAAGAAATAGAGCTGCATTACTGCCTCCCTAAAAATAGGTCCTCTCCAGGGCTAGGGACAAGTTTCACAGATAACAGGCCCAGGCTTGCTTTTCCACACCCCCAAATATGCCCTGCAGTGAGAATGAGACGTGAAGGAAGAAAGGATATAAATAAAATAAAACCATTTGGAAAAATGGCAGAACATACCAGTTAGAAACTGGGAGAATCCTGCTTCCTGTTGGAGAGTAAGCGACCAAGTGCTTTACTATTTTAACACAGTCCCCCACTTTTCAAATCCCCCCCCCCCTTGACTTTGCTATCACAGCGGCCCATGGGAACCTGTTTGTAAGTCATCACTATGTGTCTGCACTGCTAGCAGAGAGGAAGGAATGATGGTTCCTCCCCGAGTTCCTACATTTTATGGAATAACACGGATGTTTAGTGCTGGGTTAAGCAGCAGAGGAGCTGGTGCTGTGACAGCAAGGCTGGACACAGGTGGCACAGCTGAGACAGTGCTAAGGAGGCCTCTCGAGCATACCAGAATTTAAGGAAAAGGTGATTGCAGAATTTTAACACTAGGAATTTTGACTGGAGGTCAGATTTGATTTCTGCTCTGGCCTTAACAGGCCGTAGCACTTGACTTTAAACCTCGCTGCTGCAACCCCAGGTCTGTCATTAGGAAAACAGAGTGATGGTCAATAGAGAAGTGACTTGCGTTTCACAGCACAGATCCAGCTCAGGCTTCCCAGCTGGTGTCAGCTCATCACTTTGCAGAGATATAGCCCCGTCCCAGTGTCAGGTTTCTCCCTAGCCTTGGTCTGCTCAACACAAGCCACTCTTGATGCAATTTCAGTATGTCCCCTCTATAGCTCAGCTGGCAGAGCAGAAGAGCGCAGGTATTTTTTTCTCCAGGACAATGCTGAGGTCTGTAGTCCAAAGGAGAGACTGGTTTTAAGGTTATACTCAGCACATGACTTTACACCACATCAGAGACCTGCTGAGACTCTGTTCCAGCTCCCCAGGTGGGTCTAGGTTACGTTTTCATCCATCCCCATCTTGAGGGTCATTCCTCCAGGACAGAATAGAGATTCGGTGCTGGAAGATAAAGGATCAAACATTATGATATTACAGCTAAACAAAAATGCTGTGTGTGGGCCTGCTTAGCATGTGACTGGTAACAGAAGTGGTACCTCTGTCCTTTATTTTTTTTTTCCCTATTTCCTCTGTTTTCCTTTCATGTGTTCCTTTGCCCTGTAAATGCTCTTTAGGCATATAGCAAAACCAGCATGACTATTCATTTCTGAGTGCCAATGTCTTTTTTTTTTTTTTTTTCCTTTTGAAAGTCAGATTAGAAGAGCAAGTTTGCCTTTTGGCCATTTTCCAGCCAAGTTCTTTCTCCCACTCCCTCACGTGAGATTCATGTGAGCATAAGGGAGCACAATGTATGAGAGAGAGATGCAGGTGTTTGCAAGGACAACAGCTGGAAACGCCTTCAAGCTGGGCAGGATTTGAATGAACACACTTTAAGCTATGATCAGGGTTGCCATCCACTGTGACATTGTGTTCATTGTACCAAACAGCAGTCTATTAGATTAACATTCTTTCCAATTATGACTTCAGGAAGAGTCTCAAGCACACTGGCCCATGTCCACGCACGCAGTGTTGTGTCCCCCTCTCCCATCAGGCTGTTC